CGTAACTTAAAAACTGCAAAGACACTTGAATAAACTTATAAATCAATTTTACTACGAATAGAAAGAAAGCAGAAAAGTACAACCCTTTTGTAGATTCGAACCTGTCAGAGGGTCATACTTTTCTACTTTCTCGTATTTTCTCCTTTTTTCATTTTTGAGAGTTAAATCTGCAACATTTAATTTTCTAAATTCTGTGTGCTGGAATCAGATTTTCAGAAATCGCGCGTCCGGGTAAAAAACAGTAAATATTGTTTTTCATCCTGAAGATCTGTACACAGTTGAACCCAGCAGATAAAATTTAGGAAATTAAATTTGCCATATTTTTGTCTCTAAACTCATCTTTGGAAAACTCTTTCTTCATGGCGAAAACCTGGAAATGAGGCAAAAAGATGATATTTCTGATTTTTCACTACGAAGGAAGAGTTTTCCAAAGATGAATTTAGAGACAAAAATATGGTAAATTTAATTTCCTAAATTTTATCTGCTGGGTTTAACTGTGTACAAATCGATCTTCAGGGTGAAAAACAATATTTACTGTTTTTTATCCTGAAGACCGATCTCTGAAAATCTGGTCCCAGCACACAGAATTTAGAAAATTAAATTTGCTACATTTTATATTGCAAAGAGAAAACACAAATCTCTAAAATATGTTCTGAATGATTTCATCACTCATCAACTACTACACGTGTGCCTGGTAGCTTATTAGTTGGTTAAAACGTCGCGTGTACTTCTAATCTCAATTCCGAGTGCGCTGGTCAGCGAGTTCGATTCTCGTTAGGCACATATTCTTTTTTTCTTATTTATGAAGCTAGCTTAGAGTGCCCGACTAACCGAGCGTTAACCGACATTCCAACCGTTTAACCAGGCACTCCAACCACTCGGTTAACTGGGCACTCCAACGGCCCGGTTAACCTGTAGGTTAACCTAGTTGATAACCTCCCTCGTACCAAATATCTTTCGTCTTTGATTCTAGCTTAACCGGTCGGTTAACTGGGCGCTTAACCCAGATGTCAACCTCCCGTTCCTACTCGATTATGATAACCTACTGCTCGGTTCACTACTAGGTTGGAGCTAGGTAACTAGGTAAAAAGGTACATTTAGCTAGGTCCATCAAGTGAATAACCGCCCGGTTACGTCTGTGTTGGAGCTAGATTCGCTCCATAGAGAATTTTTGCTTGGGTGGGTGCGTCCGTTCGGTTTTCGTTTATATACCATATAACAAAAGTTTTTCTGTGTGCTCCAAAACTGGGGTTTAACGGAGTTGAGTTTAGGTAAAATCGACAAAAAACGTCATTCTTTCAAAACTGATCGTGATGTGGGAGAGTTTTAAATATAGCCAGGTGATAGAACCTTTCAAGGCTACAAAATGATCGTTTTCTCGTATTCTACGTCGCAAATTATACAGAATTAAAACCGAAAAAACTTTTTTTCGGATTGGAGAGTAATCGAGGTTGAAGCTTCACAGTATTTCACCTATATTCTTTTACTTTTACATCGAATAAAAAATTGTTTTTGTAGAGAATAGAACGAAGAATCCTTTTTCAAAAAGAAAGTTGACGTCTAGACAATGAAAATTAAAAGAGGTATTGGCAAAATATGGAGAGGACCATTCTTATAGCCCACCCGTTAGATCTAGAAAAACTTTTTATCTAAACAGCAAGGATTGTTTAGCCTGAATATTCTGGATAAGTAAAATCGATGATGAAACGTTAATTACTGATATTTGTTCTCTCATTATATGTGAAAATATGTTCAGATTAAAGCAATATTCATTGAGTTTTCGAAACCATTGCATATTTAAAAGTGTAAAAACAAGTAATATTGAGTACTTAAGAATTGGATGGTATTCCGTGACTGACTGGATTCTGTTACTACACGATACACCTACACTAAACAAACCATTACATGTTTGTTATTTGTATAATAATGATTATACACTTTAAGTATATCATTATATATAATATATATAATGATTATACACTTATACTTTATATACTTTTCTGTCATATAAATTATATCTCTAGAAACGCTGAGACATGTCATCTATGCAACATTCTGACGAAAGTTTATAGTGAACAAATGATTTTTTCGTAATAGACCTCAAAGCTCAAAGAAAGCGAACACAATTTATTTTAACACTAATTTCAAGCGTTTCGGTCATTTTCTCATAAGATAGTGTCCTATTTAGCTAGCAGAAACCATAAAGGCTCATTATGAGAGTAAGTTCTGATACTTGTACACAAACTCAGAACGTTGTTATTCAAAAACTATATCTATTAGAATAATAAATAAGTATGCCTGTTCTTTTTTTTGTCGTATCTAACCAGTGGGTCAGATGTGCTCTGACAAGGGTGAGGGTGTAGGAAAGAACCGAGGCTACGAAGTCACAAAACAGACGTTTACATTATTCCTAAAATTGGCTAAGTGTCTTCTATGTATTTGCAATAATATCCCTGAAAAGTAAGGCGCCGCTAATTCGAAGTACGATTAAAGCGACTCCATCGTGTTTCACATTTTGATCCCGTAGGGATTACACTGGAAGCTTTTATCTAAGGGTCAGGCCGAATATAAATCTTCAATTTGCTCAATTTATGGATTTGAAGATTTGCGGCTAGGCGATGAAAGCTTTGCTGATGTAGTAAATAAGAATATTTTATCTATTTTGCTTAACGAGACTAAAAATCAAAAATTTAAAGATAATGTGTTTACACGTTTCGATCATATTTTATTTTCTGAAAACTGCTATCAGAAGTAATCGAAATAATTAATAACTATTCAGCTAATAAATATCCTATACTAGAAAATACAATTTTTTTATTAGAAAATGCAGTTGGTATACCTGAAATGTCTAATCAAGTATTAAAAGTATTTGAGAACATAATTAAAAATGGGCAAGCAGTTGGTGAAAAAATTCTACACATTATTGCTGATAACCTTTATTTATCTAAAGATGATAGATTAAGAGATGAATCGTTTCGTCTGTTGCATATGATCAATGATAATCAAGATATATCAGATGAAATATTTGATATATTAGAGTTTGAAAGAGCTCTTACTTCATCATTGTCGTATGACAATAGTACTATTTCTTATTTATACGTAAAGATGAAGGAAGGCCAAAGGTTAACACCTGATGGATTTAAAGCGTTAAGTAAAATTATTGATAATCAGTCTATATTAAATGAAGAAATTTTACCAGTTTTAGTGACTATTTCAAATAGTAAACGAGTTATACCTGATTATTTAATTGAGAAATTAGTAGTAAGATTTAACCCTAAACGTGTACATAGTCAGTTAATTAAGATATTAGAAAACGAACTTTTATTAAAATTAGAACAGGCACTAGAAAATAAACTTATTTCGGATCAAGTATTATTAATTTTCGTTTTTCAGGGACAAAAACGTGAGAAACTATCAAGAAATATTATAATTAAAATAGTAGATAAATTTTTAACTATAGAGAATCAATTAATTATGCAACAATACTTATCTGTCATTTCTTCGGTCATTCAAAAAAAAGATATTTTTGAATATGAATATTCTACTCGAATACGTGATCGGCTTTCTAGTACTAGCTCAGTCTTAGTTTCTCATGTTCAAAAAGCTTTAATTTATGCTCTTGAAAAAGGAAATCAAGATATTGTTAGCAAAAGTGGCAGTGAATTTAGGACACTTATTTCACTTCATAAAGTTAAACTTGAGAAGGACAGCATACGTGCACTGTTAAATCTAACAACAAGTGCTATTTTTTGTGATGAAAATCTAAAATAACACATTAAAGCATTATTAGATTCTGGCTATCGTCTAAACTAGACGATAGCCAGAAATGTCCATTTCAACTCTCTAATTTAAAGTATGGTTCAAATGAACAATTACTTGATGAATTAGTTAAATTTTTTGAACCTGAATGACTTGAGCAAAATTTTAACCAAATAAATTTAATCATTAATAACTATTCAGAATTAGAAAATAAAGCACTGGAAATTTTAATGATATGTTCGAATAAGGCAAATATTTCCGATAAGTTGTTAGACAGTATTGCTATTTTACTGGTTAGTACTCTCTCAAATGAGATAAGATTATTATGCTGTCAATTAATAGCCGAAATAGCTAAAGTAGGAAGAAAAGTTAGTGATAAAATTATATCGCTCATTGCTGATCAAGAGAATAAAGAAGTAAAACATGCCCTAACATTAATTTCTAAAACCAACCAATTCCAAAACAATTCCAAAATTGTATAAATTTGTTATTGGAAATTGATAATACACACAGCAAAAATTTAGACAGTAAAAATATGTTGTTTTAATACAGCTGAAAATGCTCGTAGCGTATTCTGATGAAGAACAGTACAAGGCAAGTTGTTCCGGTCCTCTATAGTTTTTGCTACAAAACAAGAAGCAGATTTTAGGGTGCAGTTCTGCTACTGGACTCGTTTGTTATGTGAGTTTCTCCCAGTTTGACGGGTCGATGGACGACTGATACGACTGCTATCAGAACGAGCACTGCCTCCATGGTAAAGTTTATAGAAATAAACTAAACATGAAAATTTTCTCTGAGAGGGTAATGGTGGTAAATTCAACTGACTCGAAAGGATAGTGGAATCGGATACATATTCTTTAAGTATGATTCTACATGCTATGTTTAATACAGATAAGCGAGTAGAGTAGGATGAATTATAAAGGATAGAATCATACTCAAAAGCCGAGCGAACATAAGTTGTCTGCAAGTGAAGACGTAACGAAGGTATCCCTAAACACACGAGAAATAGATCCCAGCATCTTTGTACAATTATACGCAATATGTTCTAAGTGGCGTTTCCAAGTGAGGTCATGAACAAGTCTCATGCCAAGTAATTTTATGGCTGTTGAGCGTGCAATTTTTATATCGTTAATAGTAAGCGACATGAATGGATAGGTATTAGGTATAGTAGAAAATATTATCCACTCATATTCTTTTATATTGAGACCAACGAAGTTAGTGTCATATCAGCAAGTTATCTCATCAATACAAGATTGAACCTCATCCAGATCACAGAGTAGAAATAGATAATCATCGAAAAGGGATGTTAATAGAGGAGAAGCTAACGATTGTGGTAAGTCATTTATAAATATGAGGTAAAGTAATGGGCCTAAAACTGACCGTTGAGGAATTCCAGAACTAACAGAAACAGAAAGAGAAGCGACCTCACCTACTATAATTTTTTGTGTCCTTCTTGTAAGATAGGATTTGAATTAGTCAAAAAGAGAGCCAGAAATATCGGCGGATGAGAGTTTTCTTAGTAAAATATGATGGGGCTTGCGATCAAACGCTCTCAAAATCAAACCCAATGCAAATGCTGATATATATTGTGAGTAATTAAGAGTAGAGGGTCGATTGTAGAACAATTAGGTCAGAAACCAAATTGACTAGATGAGAAAAAGTTAGTAGATGTCAAGAACGAAAGCAAGTGCTTAAAAATTAATTTTTCAAGAATTTTACCGACCTTGGAAATCAACGAGATTGGTCTATAATTAGAGACTAACAATTTACTTTCTTTTTTGTGAATCGCCTTGACTAAGCATTGTTTCCATAAAGAAGGGAAAACACCAGCTTGAAGAGATATACTACTTTTTAAATTTAAAAGATTAATTAATTTAAAAATTAACTTTTATTTTTTAAATTGGAAATAGATGTGGAGACATCAGCTACATCGAATTTGGCACCGCACAACAATTGAGAAACTATATTAGTAGAGGTTGAGAGGGGCACAGTTGGAGGTCCTTGTGTTGTAGCAAAATTAGTTTCGAAGTAGTTAGACAACAGTTATACTTTAGACTGATCGTCAGTTGCAAGAGTAGTGTTATGTTTGAGCGTGCCTGGTAAATCACATTCTGTATTCCTGTATTTATTTATATGTGTCTAGAAACGTTTACTACATGAAAATGTTTTCATTATTGATTGAAATAACCTGTTTTTATCTCTATGGATAGATTGACTTGATAAGTTTCTAAATTTTTTGTAAATTTTAAATAGCCGAGGAGGATGGTCTTTGTTTTTGATTTACGGAAGGCATCGTCTCTTTTACGTTGAAGGAATCTTCTTTGCCTCGAAAGGCGAAGGGAGCGTTGTTTTGCAAGAGGAACTATTTTAACTGGAATAGAGATCTCGGTCGAGGAGATGACATGCTCAATCCAGAACTGTAAGGCATTATCTAGATCCTTAATACTGAAGTCGATCACTCATGGACAATAGATTAGCATAGAGAACAAACTTACCAAGATGATCGAAGTTAGAGGTGGCACTTTCCCATTCCTTTCCTGAGTAACGATAAAGTGGTATCTTTTATTTCAAAAGTAAAGAGTAAAGATGTAATCCATACCTTTTCTTTCCTAAGACAAAGGAAAGTGGCAGCTTTTCTTTTCCAAAAGAAAGAAAAGCGACATATTTTCATTTTGCAAGAAAAAGACTTTCTTAAAAGGTGTAAAACAAAGTCTTTTTCTTGAAAAAAGGAAAGATATCGCTTTTTTTTGGAAAAGAAAAGGTGCCGCTTTCCCTTTTCTTAGGAAAGAAAATATAGGGATTATATCTTTACTCTTTTTTGTTGTAAAAAAGAAGAAAAACTTTTTTTTTTGTTAATAAGAAAAGGAGGTAAGAAAGAGAAAGTGCCACCCCTAAATTTAACAGATTTTGAGGAGATATTGAATTTTGCTGATACAAATATCTGCTATATATGTTCAAGACACAACTATTTTAAAACTGAAAAGATCGTTAGAAATTAAGGTCCTAGACAATCAAATTGTAAAAGTTGGTTGTTATAAATTAGCTGTTAGTCTTGATAATTTATTAGATAGAAATTGAACTTTTGAATAATTAAATATTATTTTTAGCAATCTTAGAGCCTCCAATAGTCAAGAAAAAAGAGTAAAAGAGCGAAATTTCGTTTATGTTCTGGAAATTACCACAGTATAAAATTCTTTCTACCCCAGAAAATCAAGAAAAAATTTTAATAGCTTTAAAGAAGCCAGCGGAGAATTGGCAGCGGGAAGTCAATAGAATTGCAGTTGGGAATAATTTTCTTGAAATAGGTCAAGTAAAAAATGTAACGGAATTGATAGAAGAATTAGAAAGTAACAATCAAGCGGGCTTAATTAGGAAACATTTACTAAGTATAATAGAAAAAATCAACAGTTCTGACTTAGTTGACACTTGAAGTGATGAAGTGACACTCTAAAAGTGTGAATCAATTTTAGAGCGAACGTAGTATTAGTTTATATTTTGTGCTTTTTGGACTGTTTTTTACTTCTCTGCAGAAAATCGCAATCCGAACTTTGAACCTTGTCGTAAGAAGAATTAGACTTTAGTTAAAAACCAACAGTCGAATATACCTACTATCTGCACCAAAATTCAATGCACTCGGTTCTTTTTCGAATAAGTCTATATAACGATAAAAGAGCGGGACTTGCGATTTTCAACAACCGAAAGAAGACAGTTTAATTTGTGTTTTCATAAGCAAAACCCTTGTAAAATAGAGTATACCTTAATATTCTGACATAATTTGGATGAATCTTGACTGGATTATGAATTTTTTAATTATATTCGAAAATAGGCAAAATGAGTTATTTCACCTAATATAGGTTTTCTCTAGGTTGTTGGAGGTTTTCTGAAAAGAAAAATATTAACACAGGATTCAGCATGATTGATTACTTATGTTTCCATTATTTTTGGAATTACCACACCTAAAGAAATATTGGTCCTGGGACTCTTAGGAAATCTGATGTCACACCTGAATCGAGAAAACTTAAGAGTTAACTTAGTTCGCATTTTCGAGTAGATACTTTGGACTATCTCTTTATGGGAAAAAACTGATAGATTTCTAGCTCAGTTTCCCGAGATTCGAAGTGCTTTTTCAAAGATCTTCTATAAAATAGATCTTCTGAATGATTTTGGAAAAAAGTTTTGCTTATGAAAACACAGGTTAAACTGTCTTCTTTCGATTGTTGAAAAGCGCAAGTCCCTGTCTTTTATCGTTATAGACTTATTCGAATAACAACCGAGTGCATTGAATTTTGACGCCGATAGTAGTAGAAATGCTGTTATTCACATTATCTTTGTTGTCTTTTCTTGTGCACTTGAGTTCTAACTGTACCGAATTTTATTGAGAAACAACAAAAGCTATCTACGCATAGAGATATATTTGATTGACTTTCAAATTTCCAGAATTAGCTCCAAATAACTTCAAAATCAATGAAATAAGCTGATACTTAAAAATAGCTAACGAGGGAATGTTCCCAACTGTCAAGTCGCTTGCAGGCCGAAGCCTAGTGGACTATCGGTATTTTACCATATTCCGAATATGACGATGAAAGTTCCCCAAAGCCCTTTGAAGATCCGGCGTTCTGGAAAACCAGGTTTCCGGAAACTCTGAAAGATAACCAAAATCATTTTAAACAAAGCACTATTGTAGCCCGCAATTTTCTGATTAAAATGAGACGTCTACCAGCTCTACACAAGCTTTCTTTGCAAAGTTATAGAATTTACAAGAAAAGCCCTGAATGTCCATTGTCAGCTCAAAAGCTACAGCAATAAGAAGAAAAAAATTAATTTAGAGCTTTTCTTGTAAATTCTATAACTTTGCAAAGAAAGGTGGTGTAGAGCAGAAAGATGTCTCATTTTAAAATTTGCGGGCTACAATATTGCCTTGTTTAAAATGGTTTTGGTTATCTTTTACAGTTCTGGAAACCTGGTTTTCCAGAAGGCCGGATCTTCGAAGAGCTTTGGGGAACTCCCATGGT